ACAGAGAATATGATAATTGCCGTATAGACTATGGACTAGATAAGGGAGTGCATGGGGTAAATTGTGGTAAAAGAAATTCAAAAAATGCAAATGCTGGTGAAATTTTGACGCAAGCTTATCAAAACTTCACCTTTATTGAGCAGTTAACAAAATTAAATTAAGAGGACTTAGCTCGTATGACTATGAGCGGACAACCTCAACTCCGAGAAGATTTTAATAGCAGACATGTTCTGAATTTAAGCCAAAATGCAGCTATTTTGACTCAAATTTCTTACGGAAATCAGGTAACATTTGAGCGCAAGTAGGCATAACTATTACATGGATCCATTTATATCATGTCTTTTGCAACTTTTGCAAACAATTCTGACTATGATACTACCTAGAATAGGAGAGAATTTAGCTTTCTGAATCTCCCTCTTCCCATAAATTCACATACATATGAGCATGAATCCAAGAACATTATAATTTTGAAAAGCGAACAGGAAAGAAAAACAAACCAATCTAATTGATGATGATCATGATAATTCAAAGGAAAATTCATCAACATCATTCAGTATAGTATGACGGACACGGAGACATGAAAAGTAAAGGAACTTGGAATACATCTTACGTCATGAGCATTTGACTTTCCCTCTGAGTAGATTTCTTCATCTTCAGCAACTGGCTCAGTAAATTCCTTTATGACGGATGCAACCTCTAAGTTCATACCAACTTGGTCATGTGGTGAACCCTCGTGAGAGACCAGGTTCTTGAAGACCTCAAAATGGTGAAGAAGAAGGATTGTAGGCGAGTATCTGCAGTGCAAATTGATTTCAAAGGAATAAAAGACCACATTAAAGACAACCACGCCTCTTAAGTTTCGATATGCTTGAGCCGGTTTGACCAGATGGATTTAAACATAGAGATTAACGGATCTTTTAGTTGAGATTAGTTTAATATATGTTCAAAATCATTGTCAAAGGTTTTTAAAGTGGGTTGTTGGTCTATTCAAAAAATGTAAACTAATTTTTCTCTGTCAGTTTAGGATAAGGCCCAATTTAATTTGAAAGAAGTGAAAGAGAAAGTAGCTCAAATAAATTGGGACAGAGGAACAATTTAGAAAGAGACAATCATTGAAATATGCGAGTATCCAAAACACAAGGAATAATTAGTTAAACGTGCAGATTTTTCATGTATAATATACTTCTATGAAGCTAGTCATGATTTCCCTAATGTATGTTCGCATTAGCAAAAAGTTATTGCTTCAAGGTACGGAAAAATTGTGTAAATCAGAAAATCTTAGGTTAGCCTTACATAGTAAATTTACCAGGGAACAAAGAAAATCAGGTCGTCGACATATTAGTAAAGACTGCCACCTACAGTCAATAAACCTTATGATAGTAGTTAGTTAAATAGACAATAAATCCTAGGCAACCTAAAATACCTGCGAGCCATGCCGAAAGCTTCAGCTAGGGCAAAAGATGTTTTTCTATCAGAATTTGCAAATACACTTTGACAGTTAAATTCCACCACATGAAGGCCTAATTGACGAGCAACAAATTTAACCACAGTTCTCTTCCCGCACCCTGTAGAAAATTTGAAACCATCCATCAACGGCAAAATTAATTTATAAATCGATGGAGCTGCAGCTTTTAACCGAATAAAAATTTTGTAAAGTAGTAATCCCTCCGTCCCAATTTATGTGACACTCTTTCATTTTAGTCAGTCCCAAAAAAGAATTACACCTTTCTATATTTAGTAACTATTTAACTTTAAACTATCTATTTTATCCTTAATGAGATGATTTATAGTCACACAAATATCTATGGCTTGTTTAAGACTACAAGTTTCAAAAGTCTTTCTTTCATTCTTAAACTCCGTGCCTAGTCAAACACCATTACATAAACTGGGATGGAAGAAGTACATGTAAAATATATTTATCAAAGAGAACCATAAAATCATGTTTCTGATAGCTTAAGCACTATCCTACTCATCCACTATAGACATCTAAACCATGTTCAAATTTTTTTTTTTGAAATTCAAACACTGGACTCCCAATCTAGAGATTCTGCCGATATGTAACAATTCTGAGAATCATCTCTTTGTTTTCTGCAACGTCATGCGATAGGTGATAAAAGAAAATATCACAAAACAGTTAAGAAGAGAAAAAAAGATCAAAATCATCCTATAAGCAGCATCTTTCAAATTAACCAGCAAATGACAAAGTTTAGAACGTACCAGGCAAACCATACAACAACACAGCAACTCGAAATTTTGATGAAAGGGCTGATGGACATAATGGTGGCATAAGTATGGAGGCTAAAGTCTTCACAGTGCTCATTTGTAAAGGCAGAGAACCTCGCGGTCGAGGAACTAAGAAATCTGGAGGAACAGCAGAAGGTACACTCCCTCCAAGTACAAGGGCAGTTCGAGTACGGTTGACTCTTAGGATAGGTTCTTCAGAAGGTTCCATGGCCACAACCTGGGATTGCTTACTAATAAGAGTGAGTGTCAAGGCATTTCGCAAGTTACTCGTGAACCTATGACAATAATAAATAAAACTTAAACCTTGAAATAGATGAGGTCAGAACCACCATTTTGCTTCTTTTGACTGCAAGGGATGCACAGAGCCGATTTGCAATCCCAATTGATGCATACACTGAAAAGATCACCTCTCGAAAGAAGTCTATCTACTTCAAAGTACTTGTTCAATTCTATATCGATCAACTCTTGACGGTCTTCAGCTTCTGTAGATGAATCTTTTTTAACTGAATCTAGACTCCCACATTCTGGTATCTTCACAAAAGAAGCCCGCAGGTGTGTGGCATATTTTGGCAACTGATCCAAAGGTTCAAATTCTAGAGTGACGAGAACATTGTCTTTTCCACTCACTATGTTATTCGATTTGGCCTCAAATAGTGGTGACAAAGCTTCTTTCCCTTGTTGAATCATTGATTTCAAGCATGACAAATGTAAATTAAGGTTAAATGCTAGAATCGGAGATAAATAGGCAACTTCTCCATCTGGTTTTATATGAGAATCATGATAGCTATATAATGGCAAGAGAAATGCTATCCCGGAGGAATGTGGCAGTGATGAGCTACGTCCGGATAAAACTTGGTCACAACTAGGAGGATCTAGAACTACCACTTGTCCAATTCTTTGTTGACTTGTATTGACATTTTTAATGAGTACCTACGGAAAAAACAGAGGGAGCACAAAGTCAAGCAAGAATCATGTATGTCTAAGTTAGTAAGGGAGAATGAATGTCTAAAGGTTTCTTTACAGCTACACTAGAAATGAATGTCGCACAATACCACAAACAGAGATCGATAAAAACAGTAAGCAATGTAAGGTATTTTATCAGTTAGACCACTGCATATGCAAATACAAGCAATACTATATCTTCACCCCTACATTTTTTTCATAAGGTATTGTTACTGCTACATTAGAAATGAATGTCAAAACTCTCATACTAGGCATCACAAAGCAAATTTTAAACACAGGAAAAGAGTTTGCCTAATTTGTTAATTATCTGTGATTTTTTTTCTTTATAATCGTCATGTCCAGGCCGGCCAGCTTGCACGCACCTCGACTAATTCTAGAGGATACCTGTCACCAACCATAACTCTATCCACTAAGGCTTGGTCAGATTGAAAGAAATCATCTAGTGTTTATGTCCCCCACTTGGATTGGAACCTGAGACCTCAGGTTCCCAACTCACTTCATTGATCACTAGACCACACCCTTAGTGCGTTAATTATCTGTGAATAACACTAAGAAGATCACTTATATGCCATAGTGTAATATAAATAAATCTTTCTAAAATGATTCTTCAAATTTTTCTGAGCAGTTTTGATCCTTTTAAGTTTGCCTAAAGTGATCACTTTTAGAATCCATCAAATATTTAACAAACTATGGTCATTAAATTTAATGAGAAGTGTGGGAAAATAAGATTTAACGGGCATAAGGTTACCAGTGAGCCGGAAGTAATACAAAGTCTTCTAAGTTGAGAAGTAGTTATCCCCACCAAAGCAGAATCATCAAGATTAACAATGTCGTCTTTTGATATTTTAAGAACTCCAGCTCTCAATTGTACTTTTGGCAAAAATGGAATTTGGGTTTCAATCTGGGATTTATTTTCTGAATTTAAAAGTGAATTTAGTAGATTTTTAGTGGAAGAAAGAACTAAAGGTTTCCTTTTTTCCACCATAGTTGATTGAACAAGAATTCTGTTGAAACCCTAGTTTTAATTTGCTGTTGCCATTGGAATTTGCCGGTTAAAGGGGGAGAGAAGATGTTTTTTTTTTTTTTTTTTTTTTTTTTTTTTTTGTGATTGAATTTGACGATGAAAATTGAGCAACTCAAGAAATGGGAGTTTATTATATAGAGATATATGTTGACGGTAACATTCTTTAACTGTTTCGAATTTATGTTGTCAGCATAATGTTCGGGTCGGATATTTGTATTCGGGTCATTCACTCACCTCTACCAGTAAGGCAATAATTGCACCGCATGGCCTTTTCAGCGGTCACTATTTGAATTTTGTCTCCGTTAATCTTCTAAATTTTAAAAACTTGCAGAAATATAAAATATTTTGGGATGATCTTTAACTTTTGATTATCGTTTGCCCAAGGACAGAACTTTAAGGTCAAAATTTAAAAGTTGCTCGTGGGACAAGCAAGTAGCAACACTTATTAAACTTAAAGTTGCCTATAAGACAAACAATGACAAAAAATCAAGATCATCTACTTTAAGGGCTATTTGTGTACTTCACCCCTTAATGTTGCCTTTAAAGGTTATCGTGGATAAATTTAGCCCACTACATTAATATTAATACAACAACAATGATCCAGTAAAATCTCACAAGTGAGTCTGGGAAGTGTAGTGTGTACGCAGACCTTACCCTTACCCCGATGAGACAGAGATGTTATTTCCGACAGACCCTCAGCTTCACTAAATCAATATTAATAGGAACAAAATTTAAATAGTAGCATAAAAAGGCCATTTGTGCAAATGCCCCATAATTGACATCAATGCAGGCCCAAATATATGAAAGATATGGCATGAACATGCCCATTCTGAAGAAATGAATTTTTTACCTAGATATGTAGGAATTACCATTAATGTTTGTCCAAAAGCAAATGAGCAATTTATGCAAAATACCCACTGAACTTAAAGCAATTATCCTTTTCTACTCATTTAAAAACTAGTTACAATATATATCTACTCAATTAAAACTAATTACTCAACCTACCAATCCCACTTCTTTTACCCATTTAGCTTGGCTTGGCTTGAATTGGTTGGGTTTAGTAGCTTAGTTTGACTTTATTTGATTGGGTATTAAAAATAATGGGTAGGGGAAAAAAGGATGGGCAGGGACGGATAGTTAATTTCTATTGCATGGATATTTGCTAAACCTCCCCTAAGCAAATTAGTATAAAAAATTGTCAATATATAAAATATTATTAATATTAGCCAAATGCTATCAATATTAGCCAATTAGCTATTTGTATTCAAAAAGGTCAAATTTTTGTTTTCTTTTAAGTGGAGTGTTGTGGGAATAGATTAGCTACATCTTAAGGAGTTTGAATCTTAGTATTTGGATGGTTTGGTGGAGTTTTGAGATAGTTTGAATTAAATATTCGAAGTAGAAGATGGACATGGAAAAAGATGATATGCATATGTATCCTATGTATATTACATGTATATCCATGTATATATATGTGTGAGATACATGCGTGATACATGTGTCATAGAAAATTTTTTAAAACTCGATTTTAAGTACGAATTTTGATACCAAACCAGTTCAAATCACCTCCAATCTTGCTCAAATTTTGTATATTGCCTCATCTATATATTTTCAACGAATTCCAACCATACCCATTGAAAAAAAATTCTTTCTACCTTATTTTTTTTATATATTGTATATCATTGGTTAGGGGGTGTACAAATCGAACCGAAAAATCGTACCAAACCGAAAAGTCAAACCAAACCGATTAAAAAACCCGACTTGATTTGGTTTGGCATTGAGTAAAAAAGCCCGAACCAACCCGACATATAAATATATAATTTTTATATATACTTTTAAGATTTTATATAGAATTTTCTTTAAAAAAATGTCTAGAAATATTTGGGATTCTCTTGCGGGATATAAATTTTAATAGAATATGAAGTGCTCCATATTTATTGACCTTAAATAATGGGTTGTATGATCACTTTCTTATCAAGTGTTACTGAAATGCGTCTATCTCTTTGTTCTTCCATATTCATATCATATGTTAAGATCTATTAAATTCTTATATCTTTTTCGAATGTGAAGTAATTATTAATATTTATGTATCATATTGATTTTTATGTTTAATTACTAAATTCGGTTAACCTAAAAGTGTACATCAACGAAACATTATTGTAGACGACTAAAAAAATAACTATTATGTGTTACTAATAGAATTTTTCCATAAGAATTTTTTAATCGATAATATATTTGTTAATGTTTTATATTTATACTAAATATATATTTACTTATCAAATATTTAATAAAGTAAGATTGAAATAATATTTAAGTAACAAAAAATTCGAAAACCCGAAAAAACCTACAAAATCGAACTAATCCAAATTGATATAGTTGGTTTGGTTCGGTTTTGATAAAAACGGAACCAACCGGATCTATGTACTCTCCTATCATTGGTAATGAATTTTGACTCCAAACTAGTCTAACTAACCTTCAATCTTCGTCAAATTATGTGTTTTCAACATATCACAATAATACCCAATGAAAAAAAATCTTTTTTTGCCAATATTTTTTTAATATGATCTATCCTTGCCTCATTGGTGACTTTTTAGCTATTTTTGGTAGCATGACTAAATGGCTGGTTATTGGCAAATAGTGAACCCGTGAGAATTCCCGATATGTAATATAATAGATCTAACTACCAATATTAGGGATATTTTCATTATCTAAAAATAGCATTATTTATCAATTGGATATAAAGTAAGGGATTAGGCTTCAATTTTTCTCATTTTAGGCTTCAATCTTCCTATTTTCTCTCTACCTCTTTCTCTTTCTCAGGCCTCCATCCACTCTATGATACTATTTCTTGAACCATTGTTCAAAAATAACCTTTTCTACTCCACCCACCATATTAATACATATCAATCTTCGTTGACACAAAACAAAACTCTATCAACACCCTGTTTGAGTGATTTCAAAAGGTTAAATAAAAACTCGTACGACGACATGCAAAGAAATCATTATACGAGAAATTTTATCCAAACTTGACTCCAAGCTCGACTGAAGTCATTTAAACTTTTATGATACTAGCTCATCTAAAATTAATTTAGGATTTTTTCTCATTTCAAAAAATCTTCCAAAATACATTTAAAAAGGGTCCAGCAACAAAAGTGTATGTTATTTGTATGTCCTATGTATCACTGAAGATACAATGACATTCAAGACATACAAGATACATACAAACGACATGGAATAACATAATTGTATGCAAATTGTATGTTTTGATCGGATTGTATACAACAATAATTATGCAAGTTGTAAGTAAGTTGTGTGTTTTGACTAGATTGTATATAATTTTTTTAAAAAGCAAAACCTTTTGCTACTCTTTAAAAACCCAAAAATCAAGTTAAAGAGGGTAAATACTGTCCTACTTTTGTATCTATAGGAAAACATCCTTCTGAAATTATGCGAGAGCAAACACTAGGGTAGCTTTTTATTCGTGGTAGAAAAAATACTAATAAGTGAGGCTAATAACTTTTAAAATATTGGCTAAATTCTAATAGCAGGAGTTAAAAGTGGTTATTTTTCAATTTTTTCCATCTCTTGATAAGTGAGGCATTTTGGGAAAAAACTGTGGGGATTTGGCGAGAGCAGACAACGTTACACCATATTAAGAATATCTTTAAGTTGCTTTAATCTAAAAAATACAATATTGAATTTCTAGTGGGAGCTATAAGTACGACCCACTTGATTCCCAAAGAATGACTCTCGTGTTTGAAACAAATAAGCTTATCGAGAAGGGACACCACCTACCATGGGCGGATCTAAAGGTATGAGTATGGGTTCCCGGGAACCCAGTAATTTTTTTGCTAGATTTCGTATTTGTATTAAAAAAATCGTTCAATGTATAAGAATATTTAGCTGGGAACCCGTCATTTAGTCTGGTTATTAAAATATATTAATTTAAAGTTGATATAGGAACTCATAAACTTAAAATCCTAGATTCGCCTCTCCTACCCAGTCACCAAAATTAAAAATTGAGTACAGCCTTAATAATCCATATTCTACTGTTTTCTCATGTAAAGATTGAGTAATCTTCGTTATTAGATTTGCATTGACCGGTAATGTCATTAATTACTCACTTTTATTAGCACATTCATGTATTCAAACTGGTTAAAAATTGAATTATAGACCAAATGTGGTGATTCTTATTAAAGTATTGGTAGATTAATTAATTTTTATTGAGAAAATTATTATTATTTCGTTTCATTTGAGAGCTCCTAATTAAGCTATCCGATTTCTAAATAGGTAGGTAACCATAATATCGTAAACCACAAAGGAAATTAATGTGATGGAGCGATAACATAACGTGAGGACTCTGAAATATCCCTATAATTTATGGAAAAAACATTTACGTTATAGCTAGAGAATTCCCAAAATTAGATCCTATAATTTAAAAGTCAACCTTTTTTTTTTCTCTTCATCTCTATCCTTCAAAGTCAGATAATTTACTCTTGATAATTAAAAATCACTTGATCTTTATTTTTACTAGATTACGTTAATCTCATGTAGGTGGGATTTGCCTATATTGTTCTACCACTATAATAATGCTAAACAAGACCTTCCTCCAAATCATTCAAAAGTTAAAATATTGTTAATTCTTTAAAAAGTGCAGTACTGGAGATAAAAGATGGCCAAGGTTCTTATGAAGTCTTCGTTCTTGATTGCCTTTTTGCTAATTGTCATGGGTTTGTTTCTCTTTCATTTTCATTACTCTCTTTATATAAAAAAAAACCTCAGAATGCACAGAATATATTTTCTTTATTCCACTTTATGTGATGCTTTCAGAATACAGAAGGTCAAATTTTATTACTTATGACTTAGAACTCGTTTGAATTGGGTTAAAAGAAGTGATTTTTTGGGCAAAAATAACTTTTAAGCCAAAAAATAATAAGTTGAGTTGACAACTTATTGTTTTTGGCTTGTTTTAAGCAATTTAACACCCTACACAAGTTAGGAGTAAGGTGTGCGTACACACAACCCTTCTAAGAATACTGAATATGTTGTTGTTGTTGATTTAGCTTCAATAACAACAA